TTTGGTTAGGTTACTCTGCTGAAATTGGGTTTCCAGTTCGACACATAAATCGTTAGGTGTTGCACAATAGAGGAGACTTCTAGTGAGAGATCGATCAATGAAATGCAGGAGCAACGACATTACGATATTACAACATCGATCCCAAAGAAGTGCAGTCGCTGTATCTATGGCTGGACATTTAATGGTGCTAAGATAGAAACCCAACATGTTTTTGGCATTCAAGGCACATGTTATGGATTGTCGCCAGCAGGGTAATTGTTCCCCATTGAGGACTGCATCAACAAGGAATTGGTTGGGCTATTCATATAAGTGTAGAAAATAAGATGAAGAGGCATCTGGAAGGGACTTGGTGGCATCCGGTACAGGAGTAACGGCAAAGTCATCCATAGCATAGGTATGAAATTTTGTTTAACTTAGGAGCTCTGATACCATGTTATGATTGATATGTGAATGAAATAATTTCATTAATCGAGCATTCAGTACATTGGTGTATATATACATGTAGAATCCACCGTGTAAGGATGTAAACTAATTTAGGACAAAATAATTTCTAAAAGAAATAATTTCTATAATTATGGAAAGAACTTTATGATCATGGTTAATATTATTTCCCTTTTTTCTCTCTCTTAAACTCTCCCTTAAACTAAACAACAAGGACACTAAGTCCAACACATACGTGTCGACTCACTTCCCTATGCCCACAACTAAGAATCTTGGCCTCCTTTTAACTTCGTTGGTTTTGTTAGACTAGGAAGGATTGTAGTGAATGAGATTAGTGATGTGATATGAAGTAATGAAGATTGTAAGAAGAAACAAGATTTAAAAGTGAAGAAATAAAAAAAGAGAGTTAATTGTAGAAGCACGACGTTTTATTAATCGACAATATGGAGGAAAATACAAGAACTCAGCAATTCTTGCTTGAACAAAACTGAAAGAGAAGACTTCTATTTATAAATACATGACATAGCATAAAGATGTAAATAATGTGGAATAAGGAAATAATATATTTCCATAAAAATCACATGAAATATAAGGAACAAATTTTCCCACATGAAAATAAGGAAACAATTTATTTCAAAAAACAAAAATCCACCCTAATTTGGGTCACAAATCCAACAATCTTCACATTGACCCAAATACTAGTGCAACATACGAAATTCTAAAATTTCAAATCTGTCTACAACGAAATAGCCAATCTCCTCAACACAGTAACCAAAACTTTTCGAACCAAACCCTCGTCCTCTACAAGGCGTCCATAAGCGATACATGAACCCAAATCCTGGGTTTCCAAAATTCCACTAAGGAATTACTGTTAACCAAATAAAGTTGAAGCACACTCTGTACCAAAAACCATACCACATGCTGGATCAGAAGGCATCTTGCTAGAACTTTTATCTTCAACGTCTCCAAAAGCATCACAGACATTATTAACATCATGGTACCTACGTTCCATGGGTCCAACCCTAGCAAATGAACACAGTGTATCCGCTAAAATTGTTTGCAAAGCGAAATCACCAATGCTCTCCTCAGCAGTGTTCTTAACCAACTCAGAGCTCGCCATAAGAGGTACTGTACCAAATTGTATATCCACCACGATACTGAACTTGTCCAAATATCTCTTAATTGGTTTTGCGCTCCCCTACAAGATGTACAACTGAGACATTCTCCGTCCTTCGAGTACAATCCAGACACCCTTTCAGACCTTTAAGACTCCACTTTCACCAGAGAATTTATACCCTTTTGCATCTAGAGCATTAAACGAGATGAGATTCCTTTTCAGGTTTGGAACATGTTGAACCTGATCAATTGTTCTGACTGTCCCATCCCGCAACCTAAATCTGATTCGATCGTTCCCAACAATACGACAAGACTAGTTGTTTTCCATTACAACTCCACCTTATTGAATAGCATCATATGTCTGAATAAAATTTCTAGAACACATATAATACGAACATGCTGAATCGAGAATCCACTCCTCGTCAGACCTAGATTCCACGTTAGATACCACGGTCAACATCACATCTTCGCCGTCTAAAAAATCCTCAACTGCATTTGTTTTGTCTGAAGTCAAAGGTTGTGCTCCACAATTTGTGGCTAAATCACCTTTAGCCTACAACTTATCACAATCCCTCTGAATATGTCCCTTACGTCTGCAGTAGAAGCAAAACAAATTGCTGTTATTCTTCGATCTACCCATCCGTCGACCACCATGAGATACAAGAGCTTTCCCATCTCTCGATATAACTCCAACCAAATGCTTCAATTCTCCTTCAAGTACAAAGCATTATAGACGTCGTCTATAGTCAAAATATTTCGACTATACAAAATGGTGTCTCGAAACAATGCATAAGAGCCAGGTAGTGAACATAATGGGATCAAGAGTATATCATCTTCATCGTACTTAACTTCCAACGTCTCCAAATCTGTGACAATTTCCTTGAACACGGCAATATGGTCTTCCAACGACCCTCATTCCGCCATGCGATGGGAGTACAACTTCTACTTTAGAGCCAGTTTATCGGTAAGACTCTTGATCATACATCAGTTTCAACCACAAAGCAGCGATATTTTCTCCTTCAAGACATCCTATAGAATATTGTTGGATAGATGAAAATGAATCAACGACAAAGCCTTCTGATCCCTTTGTTGTCCAATTAGTTGACATCTTCTCAAAGCCGAGTAACCCATCGTCTAAATCCAACTGTGCCACAATAGCCCTCATCTTTACTTACCACAAAGAAAACCTTGTATTGCAATCCAACAGCGGAATGTCATACTTCATGGTAGTCGTCTCTGAAAAAACCTCAACCAATCCTCAGAAGAAAAACCAAATTCTGATACCACTTATTGGACCCTGAAGGATTGTAGCAAATGAGATTAATTACGTGATATAAAGTAATGAAGATCGCAAGAAGAAATAAGATTTAAAAGTAAAGAAATTAACAAAGAGAGTTAATCGCAGAAGCACACCGTTTTATAAATCAACAATATGGAGAGAAATACAAACACTCAGCGATTCTTGCTTGAACAAAACTGAAAGAGAATACAACTATTTATAGGTACATGTCATAGTATAAAGATAGAAATAATGTGAAATAAGGAAATAATATATTTCTATAAAAATCACGTGAAATATAAGAAAATAAATTTTTCCACATGAAAATAAGAAAACAATTTATTTTTTTTTAAAAAAATCCATCTTAATTTGGGTCAACAACCCAACAGGTTTTATCCTCAAGAAAACTGTTCATTTGCGTCTGAGGTTTGATAATGAAAATTTCATATTCATGATTCAATTCTATCCATTTCCGAAAATCCCATCATTGGAAGATTCTATAGGTTGTTATACAATCTGGTTTAAGGTTTGTGTCTATCTTAAAAATTTGTGGGATTGATAATTTTTCAGCTTGATGAAACTCTACATTTGGTAGTTTTAATTGTCTGTCATTTTAATATGCTTAGTGGGTTCTTAAATTTCTGTTCTTTTTGTTAATTACTTTACTAGGAAGAAGATGAATTCAAGTAGCCTTTTTTTCTTGCTTTTCCTTTAGTTGCTCATCTCACTGAAATTTTTAAACTCAAGTCTGTAGATGATAACTGGCAACCGAGAAATGACCAATGCTTGTGTTTCGAAATTTGGTGGCATATCCATAAAGCAGTACGTCCATTTCCCACTCGAAGGAAGTATGCAATTGTGTGCGTAAAAACGTTTTCAACGTATACTTCGCCTTTTGTGCATTCATCCGTACCTCTCAACTATCCTGTATCGTTTTTGGTGTTGAGCGGCCGACTCACAGCATCAGATGCTACCCAACGCTCTGATGAATGGTTTGCTCTTTGCAAGGATAAACTGACGGCGAGCACTTTCAGAACCGTGTTGTGATTTTGGAAAGGCAATCGTGGATATGAACTCTGTTACGAGAAAGTATTTGCAGAAGACGTAAAATTTGAAGCCTCTGCAAAGAGTGCCATCGAATGGAGAGGTACAAAAGCATCACGGGTGGGGTCGTGATGTGAGTTCGTTAGGTTTTGTCGTCCGTTCAGTGGAAAGGTTAGATTGGCTCGGCGGTTCTCCAGACGGGCTACTTGGATCCTTTCCCGGAGGCGAAATTCTTGAAGTGGACTTTCAAAAAGGGAAGCCTGAGACGGGGGTGCCATTGTACTATGTCATTCTATTACATGCCTCAAGTTCAGGGCCAGATGGAGATAATGAACAGAGACCAGATGGAAGCACCATATTTCTCTTGATCAATTGGCTCCTGTTTCAAGCATTCATTTGTGTTATTCTATATTAATTCTGGATCCTCATAAATTATGATAAGCAAATGTTAAATCATTTTACAAAGAATCATGCTTGTACAATTTCTTTTACAATCCATGAGTCAGCAAACATCACATCCATTTATTTGAAAAAGTATTTTTAAAATCAATTGTCAAGATTTTTTCAACACATGTTGTGAATCAAGTTGTGCATTGCGGCTTTATTCTTTTACAAACAATGATTTGAAAAAGTATTTTTAAAATCAATTGTCAAGATTTTTTCAACACTTGTTGTCAATCAAGTTGTACATTGCGGCTTTATTCTTTTACAAACAATGATTTGGTAATCTACTAGGATATGTTATGACATATCTGATTTCTTGTCTCCAGTGGGCACGATAAAAAAATTTCTGAAACAATCTACATTTAGAGAACCTTACTTGTAGTTCTCTGAAACAGTTTCACATTTAGAGAACCATATTTACGATTCTCCTTGTCATATCAACAGTATTAAGTTATTATCCAAACCAAGTGATCAATTATGTACATATACAATAGACTAGGACACTAATGTGCAGCTCATAAAATGTTGCAAAGATGCGGACATAGTTATCAACGAGAGTACTAAAAAACTTTAAAAGGCTTTTTGCAGCTACTGGGCTAAACGTAAAGAGGCCTACCTGCTTCATATGAAACCAGACACAAAGAACTACATCTACAAGCATCTCAACGGCCAGAACTATATCACACAAAAACAAACGCTTTTATTCAACAATATTTGTCTGGTACGATAAGAGGTTAATAGCAGCAGACGATGAATATGAGAATTAGGGCGTACATCACTATATCATCGATTTACATTCAGAATAGAATAGAAGATTATTGAACCGCAAAATCCACACAGACTGCAAAGAAACTACCATCTGCATTAGCAAATAAGGAGTCCTATAGTCCAGATCAAACCACAAGTGCAGATTACATCTCAGATCCTGCAGCTTAGTCGGGAGCCTCCCTAGCAATCAGACCACAAGTGCAGATTACATCTCGGATTCTTTGAGCTGTTGGCTCCACTTGTACCAACTCAACGAGTGATCTGCAATTGGAAGATCAAGTGGCTGCCCTCCAGAATTATACTCGTCACACGTTCCGCCTCCCGAGTTCCAAGAATCAGATCATTTGGCTTTCAGGGGCACAATCAGCTGGAGGAAGAAACACCATATATATACTTCACGCAAGCAGAGATTTTTTCCTACTTCATCCTTTTCTTTTCTTTTTTTTCTCTTTTCTAGATTTTTTTTTTTTTTTGGATGGTTTCTTTTTTTAAGCATTTTTCTTTCTTTTAACGCCACCCGCCACCCGCCACCCCCCTCTCCTCGGCAGCTCTTTCTGTGAACTCCTACACACTCGTGGGCTCAGAACAACACCAAAAGCAGTTCACCTGAAAGCTTAATCAACCAGGACAACTATCCCAGTAAGTGCACTCTATAGTGGAGGCAAATATTCATTAAAATAAGCATTATTAACCCATAAAATCCCCTACCCATGAAGACAGAAGTTAGGCTCGTGTAGAGCTCCATCCTTGGGGGTATCAACCTTCTCGTCCAGCCCATCTTGGTACTTATTCAGCTGCTTGAAACAATCCGAGCAAAGCAATTCCAGACAGAATGTTTCTTCATATTCCATGTCATTAATACACCTGCCACACTGAGCACACCTCACTATACAGAGTGTGCATGCCCTGCAGGCTTTGGTAGCTTGATCTTTAACCTGACAACCTGCGGCTGGACAATCATAAACCAACCTCAGTTTCTCACATCTTGGGCATGTTTCAATATCAATTGCACGGTCATCATCACATGGAAGATAAAAGCTTCCTCTACTATAGAAATGTGGCCTGTGATTATTTTCGAGCTTGTGGCTATCATAACCAAGTAACAACCTCAGCTCTTCAAAATGTTCATATGTCACGCCATATATCCCACCAATTCTCAGGCTCTTTATACCTGGGACAGCTATATTAGAGTTATATGCCTTCAGATTATTCAGTATGCCTTCAATGGTGAGCCTTGTACAACCAGGAACAGACAGCTGCATTAAAAAATAATAATAATAATTAAACTTGAAACCTTAAAGATTAGCAAATAAAAAATCACTGCAAATTGAATCTTCACTTCAAAGTAGAGATGTCATTACAGATTTTAGCTACTGCTAAAGAATAGTGAATCCCACACCAGGTTGCTTCAGGAGAATGACTAAGTGCCTGTTTGAGACCATTTTTGGCTAAGAATGCATTTTGGAATAGTAAATTGATAAAAATTTTGCGTTTACATGTAATATTATTTTATTGAAGAATGTGTGATTAAAAAGACAGAAATAGAAAAATGTATCTTGGAAATAATGGGGATCAATCAAGGACTAAATGTCCCACATTCAAAATCCAACCAAGAGCTTTGAACATGGCAAAATCATCACCATAAAGTTATCATATCTATCATCAGTGAAAATGAGAATTCAAATCCAATTATGAAATACCTACCTAACATTCATGTAGTTTACAAGTTGCCACTATCAATATGAAGGTATGCATATTGGTTTCAAATGGAACGCTAAAATTTGGCTATTGAAAATAGTTTATTTTTTTTACCTATTTCTATAAGACTATACCCTCCATAGCTTTAAACTCTGAAAGGTGAGCCTAGTAAAATGTAATGATAAATCTTTTTCCCTTAAATGACCTAGATTTTTCGAAGTATTTACATCTACCTTCTCTTTTTCTCACTTTTTAAAAATATAACCTAGATTTTAATGAGAGCGACACAAGTCCTGGAGGGCTAAGAGTTGAAAAGGAGGACATAGTAACGACAAATATACTTTTAAAATGATATGCTCTTATAATAATATTCTAGAAACGGACATCAGTGTCAGACACAATTCTATGCCCTAGTCCCAGATAAACAAAAACTCAAGTATTAACTATAGGGTCTAACAGAGACTCAATAGAAGGGTCCACGTAGCATGGTAACGGGAAAAAAACCATCACTTTATCAGCATTCCTTACGATATATGGTTCACAATCTTAAGAAGCATACTCTAGCCTGACACATTCTCCTCTGAACAACCTTTACATTCCAAGTTAACAAGTTGTCCCCGCAGTAGTTATTAACATGGACAATTATGCCAAAGTGACGAATATGACTCTACTCTAGCAAATGGTTAAATATGCATGTGCATGCCAGATGTATCAAGAGAAATGACATTAGCTCGAGACATTTAAAGAAGAAAGTGATGATATTAACTCGGATTCATAAATTCCCTTCACATCTAATCATGTGCAATTGTAGCCATTATATCAACCAACGCTTATTAAAAATTGCAGAAAAAACTATTTGATATTCTGTATACTGCTTTAAGTGATGGGTTTCCCTGTCCAAAGAGTTCAACACGTGTTATAACTTTTAATGTTAGTTTGCTGTCCCCATTTAATATAATAAATTAATGATCACCAAATGGTGACGACAATGGCATACCAGGCCCGAAAACCAAAATACTCACCAACAGATACTATACACATGTTTTCAAGAACAAATATCCGTGCACTTACAAACAAAAACACATCAATACAGAATTTTACCAAAAGAAGGCTTTGGTATTAGTAAGGCATGTTACACGTGTTGCCAACATAAAAGAACTTAATATGCATGCTCATTAACCAAGTTCCAACTTATTACAAGGCCAAAATCTAACTAAAACGAATTACTAAATATAAGATCAATAAAATCAGCAGGTTGAGTTACTGACCTTAGTCAATCGTGGATTGGCTGCAAGTATCCGCCTCAAACCATCATCAGTGATCCTTGGACACTCCACCAGGCTCAGGCATTGCAGGTTTCCTTGAGCCCTGCTAACCAATTGCACGAGCACATCATCCGTGACCCTCTCATTAAGTGGTCGATCAATGTGGATACTCATCCACAATAAGGGATCACCTTTAACTGTGGAACAGAAGGACTTGCATACCCTTTGAACAGATAGAAGGTCTTTCACTCCCAGATAACTAAAAGCAAAGGTCAAAGCTTCATGGGGTGTTCCTTCATCCTTGACACAGTTCACAGCACAATCAACTACCCCACCAAACTGAAGTTCAGAACTGCTACGAGCACCCTCACTGCTGAGGCCAACAATGTCCCTCATATTGTGGGCCAGTAGAAACCCAAGTTCATATTGGGCTAAGGCACCTCCCATTTCTCTCCCATCTCTACACAGATTCGCCACTGCGCCCTCAACTTCCCCTCCAAACTGAAGTTCAGAACTGCTACTAGCCCCCTCATTGCTGTGGCCCTCGATGTCCCTCATATTGTGGGCCAGCAGAAACTCAAGCTCATATTGGGATAAAGCACCACCCATTTCTCTCTCCTCCCTATATACACGAGCCTGATTGCCAGCATTCAATTTCTCATCAAATTGAATGCTGTCAGTAAAAGTATGGATACTCTCATCTGGTTTCTCATAAACCTGAAGATTGCTAGGAAAATATTGGGTACCCACATTCAGTTTCTCATCAAATTGAGCATTGTTTGAAAAAGCATTATTCCAAATCAAATTCCATCCTGCGAACAAACCATAATCTTCATTATTGTTGTTCCTCATGTATCCTTGATAATCAAACTCCAAGTCCTCGAGCCATCCCGTGATCGCAGTGAAGGTAGTTTCTATATCCATCCCAAACGGGTCAGACGGCAAAAGGTCAACAATGTCCTTGGCCGTTGACTCCGTTGAGCTGCATAGATCAACTCTATCCCCGCCACAGTTAAAATTCCACTCCTCAGCTTCTCCTTGGCACGTACAGCAAGCCTTTGAGTAACCTTCCCCATTCTTATCAGGAACATCCTCGGCAAGATACCCATTCAAAATCCTCATGGGCGATACCAAATTGTCTTCTGAAATATGTGCCGGAATAATTGGCCGTTGTGAATAGTTCAATGCCATCTCAATATCTCTATAGAAAACCCTAGGTTTCAGATCATTCTCCTTTCGTTATATACCCGAGGAAATTAAATGGAAAAAGAAGAAACGGGCTCTAACTAAAAACGATTATTTTTTTTCCTTCAATTCTTTAGACTTCATCCGTGGGTTATGCCGTTAACATAGAAGTTCGGAACAAGAAAACCCTCAATTTTCAATGTCAAACTAAAAAAAGCACCAAAAATTTCACAGAGATTTTCTCATAAGATCCCTGATTATATTTTTGTCCCAGCTAGGGTATCAAATCAATGAATGAAATGGAACTATTCTTATGTACAATTAGAATAAAAGAATTCTAGGGTGATAACCAAAAAGAGAAATACGTAAAAAGGGTTATCTAACCTAGGGTTTGAAAGATAATAGAATTTTCCAATCACTTAGCAGAAAAGCTTATACATATTGAAAAATTATATCTTTTCACAAATAATAAACAGGAAAAGAGAGAAACGACCTAGATTTCGCTGTAAACACCAAACCCAGAGATTTTTGCCGGTGAACAACACACAACCCAATCGACAGATGAGACAATTAAGCGTTCAAAGTCGGCATTTAAATTGAAAAATAAACATGATGAAAGTTTCTGCCGATCAAGTACAAAGCTTCGAGGAAAGGAAAAACAGGGGAAAATAGATTTCTTTTCAGAGGGGAAAAGAAAGAGAAAATGGGGGAGGGAATTGGTGAAGGGAAATTCCGTCCAATTTAGAGTATAATTGCTGTGGCGAGGGGAAGGAAATCTTACACGTGTGAGGAGGTAAAATGATTTTCCCCTGCGTTTGAGGTGAAAATTTGTGGTTAAAAAGAAAAAGGAATAAGGAGAGGAAAACCTCTACTCTAGGGTTACCTTCTTTCTAGCGTTTGGGGTAAAATTAGAGGTGGCTCGTGTTTTGCGTGTTATTAGATAGGATTAGATGGCACAACGATGTATTAAGACCTCGTTTGATTTTCATTTTTTTGGTCATAAAAATAAAAAATATGATTGTTATTCATCACATTAAATCATCATATTTGACTTTCTATCTCTTGTGTGGGTTTCATAACGATTATATTTTTCATTCTCATTCTTATAAAAATGGGAACCAAACGGGCTCTAATTTGATCCTTCTCAAAAAGGCAATTTGAATTCGGTCCCATTATTATTTGTCATTGACACATGATCAATCTTTCATTGAAATGACTAATTATATGTGATGCATAACGTTGATAGTTGATTCAATTAAGAAAAAAACTTGACAAATGTGACCCTTTTTGTTTCTAAGAAAGGTTCTATGAGTAATGGACATTGACCCGACTCTTGTATGGATGTGCAAGAAGAGGTGTTTTTAAATGTGTACGGAGATGGTTTTATTTGCAGTAATGAATTCTTTTTCGTAATAACCATTTGGCACATGGGACAAATAGCTATAGTATGAAATCCACCTTTATTACCATTGCTGAAGGGAAAAACGCAATCTTTATGTACTTTTATGAAGCTAGATTTTAAGTGATTGACTAATTTATGTAGCATAACTAATTTGCAAATCAAGAAGACAAAAGTAGAGTCTTCTAACTTGGCTTGGGTTTAGAAATTTGAATCAGATATGTTTTCCATAAGAGATAAGCTACCATTTTTATACAGATTTAGCCCCCATTTGTTTTCCATTCTTTCCCCATTTAAATGAAAAATATTACCGTTATTTATCACATCACACTACCAAATTTGAATTTCTATTTCTTGTGTGGGGCCCGTAACAATTATATTTTTTGTTATCATTTTTACAAAAATTGGAAACAAACGAAGCCTTAGTCATGGTATTGTTGGGGATTGATTGCATTGGATGGTGAAAACACAATTTTACATAGGGTAAATAATAAATTTTTAGAGGGATTTAATTATTTCTACTAATAAGTTAACTTTTTGAACCCTGAAACTCAACTAAGTATTATCATAGTTAGGTCCCAAATTTAGTTGTGCAGATGCATAAGATGAACCCCAAATATAGTCGAAAGAACTTATGAAGATTTGAACCCCACTTATATGCAATGGCTGAAGAATTTGCAATTGGCTCTCAAAGTCAGTTGTACTTACATGAAGTGGGGGCCATTGACGAAATCAAAGAGTTGAATCTTGACGGAGTCCAGGCTTGAAGGAGAGAAGTATAAATAATCACTTGACGGGGTTGAAATGCTATGATACTTCATTAAAAATGTGAATAAAATTTAGAGTAGGTTTGGGCCCCATTTTTTGGAATGTAGTTTGGAATAGTAAATTGATAAAGAATGTGTCGTTAAAAAATAAGAAAAAAATTTAAATTTTCGTGTAATATTATTTTATTGAAAAATATGTAATTTAAAAGAAGAGAGAAAAAATATATTTAAAAAAAAAAATGGGGATCAAATAGGGGCATTAAACGAGGTAGACTTGTGGTGAATGGTAGATTTATAAAGAATCATATTATTCCTAATAAATTAACTTTTTGAATGGAATTTTAAATTTTCAACTTATTGAATTGTTACAATAATTACTTTTTAAAATTTGACGATCTACTTACTGCATGAACTATTGGCTGGGAAACTGGCGAACAATGTTTCCATGGGATTGAAAATTTTGGTAAAAGCAACAAAATTGCACATTAGTCCCCCCAAAAAAAAATCTTGCCCCATAAAAAACAAAAAAGTTGTCTTTTACTTATAATTTTTTATTTGGTACCTCGATTTAAGGCATTTGATTTTTTCAATCAAAAAATTGTTCTCAATTTCTATTATAACAAAATAGATAAGTCTATGTAAACCTCGTAACTTTTCAAACTTTATGGACATGCAGAAGAGAAATGTTATTCCCACTTGGACCAAGACAACTTTTATGAGTAAGAAAAAGTAGGTAAATTTTATCGACAGTGATTAAACTAGAGTAGGTTATTAAACTTTAATCTGTCTTAAGTGACTGAGTGAGTTACTGAACTTCTATTTCACTCTGCTAGGTGTAGATTAAAATCAAAATTTTAATAAATTTGGACAAAAGTTGATCAAATGTATTGTTGAAAAGTTGTTAATCCCATTAAATATATTATTTATGTGAATTATTAACTTCTGAATTGAATTTTTTAATAGATTTTATAATTCCTTATTTTGTCACGTATTGTCCCCAAACTTGACATAAATAACTTAGTTGACAATCATAAATCTACCACACAATCGCGTTAGAAATAAATATGGTAAAATGAGAGTTATAGTAATGGCGGTAGATTAAAGGATTAACATGCAAATTTTGTACTTTAGCACTTATATGATGTAATGTTATGATCACTTGACATATATAATTTAGCAATTATAATGAAAGATCAATTATGATATGACTACCAATTAAACAATTTTGCAACTTGATATTAAAGTAAGGTCTAGTGACCAAATTTGTAACAAATTTGAAATTCCCAATTATAATATATTAAATTTTAGTGATTCAGTTGGAATTTTGCTAAAATTTTAAGGACCGCATATGAAATTTGTCCAAGAAAATTTTTCCCAAGTTAACCAAACTAAAACAAAAATACTAATAAAAAAATTCAAAAAAAAAAAATTTAGAAAAAAATGAGTTCAGAACAGCCGCTTTGATTGTTGCCTTTGTATATTTTTGTCTTCACATCTCCTTTCTCAACTCAATTCTTCTACAGCAAGTAATTTCCAACGCCCCTTACTTATGTTCTGCTGGCTTTCTATTTTTGCGGAAAGCTTTCTTTTTCATTCCCCTTTATTATTATTATTATTATTATAGTTGAATAATCGATCATTTTCTTTTTGTGGGTTTCACAGGTGGCTTTACAATAATGGGGTTTTGAGTTTCAAGTCAAAAGATTCAAACTTTATGCTTTGATTTTGGTGAAAAGTGGGGTATTTCGACATGGGCACGATGAAGCACACGGATTTTGATTGAATTATTAGTGGGATTCTTGGGTTTCTGTATACGGGGTGTTCCTTTGTAGAAATCTTCTTGATTGCCACTGTTTTCTTTTATGGATAAATGAGCCTTTGACCTCTTCTTTGAGAAGGATAAAGCTAGTGGAAGTTTATTGTTTTCCTCCAAGAGGATTGACAGAGATTCAAATTCTTGGTGAGTTCAAAGCATTCATCTTTTGCAACTTTAATTATCTCATTTTGATGATTTTTACATATTGGTCTGTAGGCTGATGTTGTAAGAAATAGAGGTTGTCTTGGCAGACTTTGATAAGATTTGCATATTCTTTGAATTTGATATCATCTTCTGAGAGATTTTGAGGGGTGAATTTGGTGATTTAAATAAAATATGATCAAACAGATACTTAGTAAGATTCCTAAGAAGAATATGAAATCGGCTAGTGACTCGAGCTCCTCTTCAAATTCTTCTAATTCAAAGAGAAGTGAAGGAGGAAGTAAAAGATTGAGTAGTGAGGTTGATGGGGTTATTTCAGCCCCTTTTTCTGCTATGAGCATTGGGAATAATTCAGAAGGTAACTTTCTTCGAGATAAGAATTTTATGGTAAATGGAAATTTAGTTTCTGCTTCATTCGAAGCATTGCCAAGTTTTAGGGATGTTCCCAGTTCTGAGAAGCAGAATTTGTTTATAAAAAAACTGAAGATTTGTTGCATTCAATTCGACTTCACTGATCCCACAAGGAACCTTAAAGAAAAAGAGATCAAACGACAGACATTGTTAGAGATTGTGGAATATTTAACTTCTGCAAATGTGAAAATCTCGGAAACCATAATGCAAGAAGTTATCAAGATGGTGTCAGCTAATATATTTAGGGAAATTACTCAGCCACAGGAGAACAAGTTTGTAGATGGTGTCGATTTGGAAGAGGAAGGTCCTACAATGGATCCGGCATGGACTCATTTGCAAATTGTGTATGAATTTTTGCTAAGGTTCATTGCATTACCAGAAACTGATGCAAAGATAGCTAAAAAATACCTTGATCATTTCTTTGTCCTCAAACTGCTCGATCTTTTTGACTCTGAAGATCCCCGAGAGAGGGAATACTTGAAAACCATATTACATCGCATCTATGGGAAGTTTATGGTACATCGACCCTTTATCCGAAATGCTATCAACAACATATTTTATTGTTTTATTTTTGAGAACGAAAAGCATTATGGCATTGCTGAATTTCTTGAGGTGCTTGGGAGTATAATTAATGGATTTGCTTTGCCACTGAAAGAAGAACATAAACTCTTTTTAGTACGGACATTAATTCCCCTGCACAAACCCAAAAATTTGTCAGTGTACCACCAGCAGCTATCTTATTGTGTTACACAATTTTTAGAGAAAGACTGCAAGATTGCTGATACTGTTGTACGGGGACTTTTAAAGTACTGGCCAGTTACTAATAGCTTGAAGGAAGTCTTGTTTCTTAATGAGCTGGAGGAAGTTTTAGAAGTGACCCAGCCACCAGAATTCCAACTATGCATTGTTCCGTTGTTTCGTCAAATTTCTCATTGCTTGAACAGTTTGCACTTTCAGGTATTACTTATTTCTGTCTTTGCTCTTGTTTATTTTCTCTATCTGTCTTTGAATAATCATTAATCTCTTGTAATAAATATTAGCATACCAAGACACTAAGCATATGATCATCCATTATTTCTATCATATGCTTGTTATAATTATTCTATAATTCAACCATTGAAATTCCTCTTGGATGGAACTCAATCCCAGAACGATCCTCATTCAATTAAAGAAATACATAATGTTCTTAATAAGGGGCCTTGACTAACCTCTACTCAACTTCACTAGTCTGTTTGGCATTGATCTTTTTGTTGTAGGCATATCCTCGAGCTTCATGTTGTATTCCACCTTGTTGTTCTGAAGTATAGGTTTATTCGATTTTTCTCCTAATTCTCACATTAGGTGATTGGACTTCTTGCAGTATTGTTGTGTTCTGATTATTCTTTTTGTTTTGAGGGATATAACAAGAGGCCCTGATCACTTCAAAAAAATGAATTTTTATTTTTATTTTTATTTTATTTTTTATATTTTTGGGTATCTGAAGACACGAGAGTTGTAAACATTTGGGTTCTTCCACAATTTAATGGCTATTTAGGAATAGATGAATATGGTGATGCATTGTGTTCAATCACATGCTTTTAGGATGATGGGTGCAGTGGAAGATTCTGTATGGTCCATTTCTATTGGTTATGGTTGATGGTGCCTATTGCCATGGTTTCCATCATTTTAAGTTGAGGGTCAAATGAGGGGTGTATCTGAGCACTAAGCTATTATAGGCATGGTTAAAGGTAAGTGCATGTGAGGTTTGTATGTTGGTTCTAGTATAACATTGAAAATAAAAATTGTATTGGTGATAGCGGCAATGCCTCAGATGCAGACGCGATAATGTACAATTATCATATTCATATTTTGCTACAGATAATTACATCCCAAGTACCTATTTGTGCATTATATCCTTATCTTAATGTTTCCTAATCTCTGTGTCCATAATTCCTGCTCTGTAGAAAATATCTTTTTCATGGTAGGAGTACAAGTGACTTGTTAGTTCAAAACTACTTATCTCTGTATGTAATTTCACTCCTTTTTTATTTCTCTGAATACCTGAGTAGTAATCCATATAATGCTCTTTATGCATTGTGGGGTGAAAGGACGCAAACTGGAGTGAACTTAGTTAGCAGAGGTGCATTTGGCATTTTGGTGCAAAAGACTGACATTCGCATACTTGAAACGTCAGTTCTCAGTTTAAGTATTTCACTGCATCAATATGCAAATGTTTCCAAAATGAGCATCCCTTAAAAAAAATGGAAAAATAGGAAAGAGAAAAGAACTATTCATTCCCTTGCGAAAAGGAGTGTGATCTTTGATTTATTAGTGCTGTGACACATATGTCAAAAACCTTGTGTGCAATTCGAATGAAATCTACTTTTCAACTTCGAATTATTGATTGATCACACCTCTTGAGCTTTAAAACGATTTTACCAAGGTTAGCTGGGGAGAATGACATAATACCTAGGATGTGGGAGGCGTTGGTAGAGAGGCCATCTGGAGATTGTGTGAATTGTATTGGCTTGCATGTTGCTGGCAATGTTAAGCACTGAACCACGCTGTATGCAGAGAATAGATGGTTCCGTGCATCATATTTCATTACCTTGGGAGTAGATTTCCTAGCATAATTATGAGTATTGACGGAGAGATGTTTGGCATAGATACTTCAATTAGGGTGACATATTCGTGTCCGACATGTGTCGGATACCGACACTCCTCAGTCATTTTCCTCTTTATGAGAAATATTATATATTTTTAATTCAAAGTTATTATTAAATAATAACTAAGTACTTATATTTAAAATGTTTAAACAAGAAAAATTAATATCAAGCATAAAATAAATTTATACTATACAAATGAAGACTTTTAAAAGAATTTAATCAAGGTGTCGATGTTGTGTCGTGTCAATATTTTTTTGAAAAATTACGTGTTGACGTGTCCCACACAACAAATTTTAAAGAATTTAATCAACACATCTATGACATGTCAAGTTAGCAGAGGCGAATCCAGGAGCTCGATGAGCACGGGCAGTCGTTGACCGTCCACCGACAATGGCCGCTATAAAAATCAAATATATCTATTATTATATTACCGTTAAATTTAATTATAACATTCATCAAATGCCAAAGTGGTAAGGCATTTCAAAATTTTACAGAGGAGCGCGGTTGGAATCTTTCCCATTGCACCAGTTGTTCAAATCTTTTCAAAACATATATATTTATGTTATGCTGATTGTTAATACCCACCAAATGCCATAGTAATTAAACTTTTGTCAATTCCAAAGGAGACCATAGTTCAAATATTTTCCCCATTGCATTGGTTTTAATAACAATATTTCAAAATGATAAAAAAATATTAAACTAAAATAATTAAATTAATGATTGTTCTTGTAAAGAGTGGAATACTTTACCTCTGGCTTACAAAACGAATCCCTTACCAACTGAGCTACAAGAGTTAATTTGAAACCAATGAAATTACCAGATATATATCCAAAAAAATATACATTGACACCAACAAAAAATAATGCTAGTGGATCTAGCACGGGCAGTTGCAGGTTTTTGCCGGGTGCTGGATTCGCCACTGCATGTTAGTGCTTATTTGAAAAATTACGTGTTGGTGTGTGTTTGTTTCGATGTATCATAGATGAATAGTGCCTTTGAACTGTAAAATGAAACGCAATTTTTTTACACGCTGCTTAATAGGAGCTTCCTATTTGTAATTGTTCTGTCCCAATTTATAAGATAGGTTTTATTCTATGTTTGGTGAGAAAATTTGGAATCTTTAAAGTCTTACCCCCTTTTTTTGGTTAAAGACATTCAGGTCGAGATAAGGGCTCTGGGACCTGACTCAAAAATGAATGTGGGGTATGGCATCGTCCCCAAGTATTTAATATTGAAAGAGTTCACGTAGAGGGATATGGGCTTACCTCTACAGAATTACAAAGAAACAATGAGTAATTTATTTGCAATCTAATCGTTCATCCTGCTATGCCCTGGGCCTTTTGTTCTTCTAACGTAAAAGGTGGCTGCCATTCGTCATGGCCCCGGAAAACAGGAATCCGCTGGACATCTCAGCGGCAGGATTTGATACCCGCATCTGATCGAAGTTCAATTTTAGTGCCCCCTAACATAAAGGAGGGCTTTTTCTAGGGGGGCGCTTAGTGCAAGACATTGCTTAGGACGAACGGGTCACACGACTGACGTTACAAAAGCTTACAGGAAATAGACCGGAAATTTTGTATTCTCACTTGGTATTACATATTATGTGGAAAATTTGGGTTTGAGAACGTTGTAGTTTGTACTCTTCTCTAATCCCTTCAGTTTGAATTTTATTGGGGTTTGTGTTCGAATTCTTTGCACTCTTAATGTTTCCTCTTTTAGTAATTAGTGAAGTTCTGATATCTATGTCATTGGGTTTAATCATGTTGGTGAAGCGCCCAACAACATAAATTCTTTGTGTTCTTTCATATTTATTTGGAAATGTCTGTGTGTATAGGACTGTACACTTACAGCCCCCTCATGTGAGGGGGCTGCTGCTGTACACCAAGCACTGCTCTATTTATTTTGCCTAAATCTCAATTTTGGTCTGCCGCGTAACAAGTAGTATCAAAGTCAAGGTGGAGTCCAGGGGTACTTTCTGTTATGGCAGCAAAAATGCCAAATTGAGAAATTTGATGCGAAGCCGTGGGGGAGATGTTTGAAAATTTGCTTCTGAGGAAACGCTCGAAGAAAATTCCTGTTTTGAAGGCTTCGAACTATTTAAAGTCTGGAGATTTGTTGATTATTGCCTCTGAATTGGAATCCCACAGTGAAAGTGAAATGAAAGGTCCCCATTTGTGCTCCTGCAAATATGAGTTTTTTCTTTGTATTTGATATTTTTCCGCCATTCATCAAACCTTTAAATCTCTCACTTGATGCTGCTTTTTGTGAGTTTTGGCTTACCAGAGCTTAAGTTAATTTGAGAGACTGATGCTTGTTTTAATCTCAGGTTGCAGAGAGAGCTTTGTTCCTGTGGAACAACGATCATATAGAGAACCTAATCAAACAAAATCGTGAAGTTATACTGCCTATTATTTTCGCTGCTCTGGAGCAAAATGCTAGACACCACTGGAATCAGTCCGTCCACAGTTTGACACTTAATGTGCGCAAGATCTTTTACGATCTCGACCCTGATCTATTTGAGGAGTCCTTGCTCAAGTTTCAGGAAGATGAATCAAAGGAAGGCGAACTCAAAGAGAGACATGAAGCCACATGGAAATGCCTTGAAGAACTTGCTGCTGAAAGAGCTGCAAGTAATGAAGCTGTGCTTGTTTCTTAGAGACAAGCGAGACTTCATTTTTTTCTCTATTTATTTACGTTCGAAAGGATGATTATTTTGTTTCTCGTTTTCATTTCCCTTCTCCCTCTTTTTTCCATCTCGAACAGGAGCTATGGCTGCTGGCATCACATTTTATTCTTTAGACAGGTCTTATAATTTCAGTTCCATGGATTAGCAAATGAGCTTTTCAAAGATTGTTGTTGATTCATATATAATAGGTGTAACTTTATAAAGGAGCAAGTCGGTCCCCAGTCTCTCTTTATAGTTGCACATTCAGTCTCTACCGACGCAAACCATTCAATTTTCGATAAATTGTCAAATATATATATATACGCGTGTGGATGTGTGTGAAATCATGCGAGGGTTGAACTTGAGTAGGCTACATATTGTTTAGAATTTCTTCAAGTTGAATAAAGAATATGTTGATATGATCGAACAATTTTAATGGTTGTGAAAGCTTTATATATATTCAAGTTCGTGTAGTTAAAGCTAATAAATACTATATTGGAACGTTTATTATCGTACATAATAACATTAATAAACAAAAACAAGTAAAAATTTGATCTCTTTTGCAAAATTGTAAACAACAATTGTTTCCTTGTATAAAACAATAGATACATGTATATATTCTTCAAATTTTCCATATTATTCTTCTTCAAGTTAATATAAGCCTTCACTCCATCGAATGAAAATGAAACAAACAAATATATTTTATTAATTTTCTGAAAATAAAATACAAAAATGTATGGTTTTATGAGCATATTTCAATCTAGGTTGCATCGAAATGGGGGAAACAAAACCGGGTTGGAACCCTATTAGCAGAACGGAATAAGTTAGAAGCTTAGGGTGCAATTGGTTTAGTTTTCCATTTTCTATATTCGGTTTCAAAACGATTTTTAATTTTCCTTGAAAACAACGCGTTTTGGGAATTTATAATTGAAAACTTTCAAAACGATAAAAAGTCGTTTTCCGCATTTTCGAAAACGGAAAATGATTCGAAAACGTCAAATCAACCGCAGCCTTAGAGCCCGTATTAATTTTATTTTATTATTTTTTTGGGTAAAATTTCTAATTTTTTTCACGCAAAGTTTCCCAAAAGTTTTCATATAGTTTTCAAAACATTTTCGAAGAGTTTTGGTTACCGAAAGAAACACGTGCATCCTAGATTCTGAGTTCTAACAATATAAGCCTGAATTCTTCACCTGACGGCACATCCATAAACATCGTTGAACGTAAAGCTGGATGATGCCATCCATACAGGCTTTCCCCATCCAAAATCAGCTTCATATAATGGAAACCTGAAAAAACTTGTGAAATTAAGAGTGAAAACCTCACCTCTGGTGGACTGGGCAGCTCTTTCTTTGATGAAAAATTCTTGCAAATAATCCGAATTTATACTTTTAATTGCTTCCCTTAACTTTTTCCACATTCCACCACCCCATAACCCTCTCTTGCACGTTCATCTTCCGCGGATGGAAAAGTTATTGCAAGCCTCGAATAATTTTCAGACAATGCTCATAGGTTTACTGCGTGTAGTGTAGATTTTGTTGTAACCATATTTGCCCTCGTTTGAGCCCAATTATTCGGTAAAAATAAATTTTGGAATAGTTTTTTTTTTCTTTTTTTTTTTTTGAGAATGTATGATTGAAAAGTTAGAAAAAAATTTAGTAAAATTTTAGATTTGCGTGTAAAATTATATTATGAATAGAATATGGTATTGAAAATAAGTTTGGAGAAAAATAAACAAGGACTTATTTACTTGATCAGCTGAAGCAATAGATGACATCGAAATGAAAGTTGAGGTTTCGAGAGTGCCTTGACCATCTTGGGGTAATTTTGAGAATGGCAGGAAAATTCTTCCTATTTTTCACAAATACCTCTTTTGTTAAAAGTACTATATTGTCCTTACTATGGTTATTTACAAGATATATCATTTATCTTTAAGGACTTGTCAATCAGGACTTATATCTATATTTTTCAATCCTTTGAACACCTTTAAATATTCTCTATATCTTGATAGTTCTTCAAAGATTATAGGTTGTCATTTCTTAGTTATATATCCTCGAACTAAATCTTCTGAAATTTCTTCTTATATATTTTTATGTTTAGTTATAATATCTTCTACTTTTCTTATTTCTTTATAAGTTTTTACAGAATCAAATCCTATATTATTTTTACAACTATAATCTATATATCTATATATTTCTTCAATTTTTTCTTTACCAACAGGAAATATATCATCCGATTTTTCATCTAATTTAAATAAAAACGAAACATCTTTTTCATCTAAAAATAAAATAAAATAATTATCACCATTAACAGTGGAAGTGGATGCTTGTGAATTGTACATCAAAATAATTAAAACATGAGCATGTAAAAACAAGTAAATAACTTACAGTAATCAAGTGAAAATAAACAGGTTTTCCCTCCAGCATGCTCTTATAGATGCTTTGCATGTACTTAATCAATCTTCTGAATCAAGTAAAGATTTAAAATATTTTTGAAATCATTTGGGTCCACAATTGCTTCCGCAAAAGGCTTTTCAATTAAGGTTGCACTTCTCATTCTAGAGAACTAGCCGTGTTTCCACAGACGTTATCTCACAGTATCCAGAGTCTCTGTTTTCACCTCTATCCAAACTCTTTTCAGAATCAAGTTCCTACTTGGAACGAAATTTTAAAAGATAACTCACATACAAGGTGCTACAAATTTTTGTTAGAAAATTGCCTTTTTTCCCCAAACCATTCTTCAAATACGGGTACTTTGGCATGGCTAACATCCATTCAAAATCAAAATTTTGAAAATCTTTTAAAATCTCTATCTGTACTGCCGAGAAATCATGAGAAACTTAACGAAATCCTTTTATGTAAGCTTTGTTGAACATAACAAACTTTACTTTAATATTCATAAATTGAAATTGTACATGCTTACAAACTATATTTACACACCTTTGGTATTCACCTTATGAAGTTTAGAACTCCATAAGTGATTACCTTATTACACGCTTTCCTATCTTCAAGCTATCTAATATTTTTCTGAATACAAGTGGTGTATACAGATTACAAAAAATTTCTCTCAGATGTGTTTAAGAGATAAGTTATTTCGAGATATATTCCTCCTTCCTTCATGCCCCCTTTTATAGGAGATTTTGGAATCTTATCTTGGACATGTGTTTTCCACCTTTCTTTGTTGGGTAGCTAGGCCATCTTATCTCCACCGAATTCTTCATTGTCTTCTTGTTGGGTGGACCACTTCTTTTGAAATTAGATGCCTTATCTTTTGAGTTTGTCTGCCACTTGTAACTATTGGTGAGGAGTAGTCACAATTATAGAGACTTTTCTTGTATTATCTTCTGTCTTCTAGTGGCCACAGTTTTTCTTTAATAAATTTCTTTATTAAAGTAGTGATAAAGAGCTACTTTAGTCACCATCACTTTTCCATTTTTGAATCAAAAAATTCTGCAGGGAATTCTTCATCATTAAGGGATGTCTGACTCATATCTTCAACTACACAGTATTCACAATGGTGATCACTGCAATTCCAAAGTAATTTGCATAATTCTTTAGCCATATCCTCTGATCCGTGCACTTGATTGGATATAATTGCAGATAATAAATGATCGAGATAACAAATATCTTCTTCTTTTGTATCCATTCTTGTATTGGAATAAATAATATGATCTTCAGATGGATAAACCCATATTTTTTCTTTCTCAGTAATTATCTGAGTTACATGTTCAAATATCTCTTTATACCCTTTTGCTCGTCTGTAGGGCATCATATTTAGAATATCTTGATATCCATTTTTAACAACCTTTTGATTGGTTGGTAAAAAATGTTGATTTGTGATTCCCATTTTGATCACATGGAAAGATGGATGCATATATTCAAGAATAGGATCCCACTCCATGGTTGCTGAATGGAATCTGATATATATATTTGTTGTTTTAACAACTTCAGTATATCTTTTAACAGCTTTCCTAATGTTGGCTGGAAGTTGAGCTATCTCTTTGAGATCTTTGTTAGGATATATACAAAGTATATTTCCTATCTCAAAGCAATTTCGAACTCAGTTGGCTGGTACTCCTGGATAAAAATTTATCTTGTTATATTTTAAATAGTGGAGAGTCTTCATCCACTTTCCAATCTCCAGATACCAATCTGATAAAATATTGAAAATAACAATAAAGAGTGTTACTTCTTCATGGTTATTTTTTCTGGAAATTTTTGCTTCATGGCATATCTTGACAATATCTTTTGGATCTATCCTTTCAATAGAAAGTTTAGATTGAGTTTGGCTCTGTGAAGAACTACCTTTTCTTTTGATATCTTGGATATTTTTATTACCAGTAATAGGTTTGAGTATTCCCTGTGAAGGGGTTCCTATTACCTTCTTTTCTTTCCCTTTATCCTCGGGGAGAGCGCTAGTATTCACAAGTCCCTGCGAAGGGATACTAGTCTTGGTACAAGTAACTTCTGCCTCAAGGGCTATATTTTTGCCTCGAAGGCTATCTTGGATATTTTGAATTTGGGTTTCCAAATAGGAAACTTTTATCTCAAGTATTTGGACTTTTGTCCTTAGATGTTCTAGCTCCATCCCTGCTAAGATAATCAGGAAGAAAGTTAGCTTTTCCTTTAATATATTCAATATCAAATTTGAAGTATGAGAACCAAATTTGTATTCTAATAATATATCTATTGGTAATAGATGGATCAACATTATTTTTCAAAAATGCTTTAACTTGAGTATGGTCAGTTCTAATCAAGAACTTCTTTGGTAGTAAATAATCTTCATATTTTTGAACTCCTCTTTTTACAGCAATGAGTTCTTTTCTGTTCGTCTCATATCTTGTTTCAACTTCTTTGAATGTTCCTGATGTATATCCTGCAAGTATTTCGGGGCAAGAACAGTCTTTTTCACATTTATATTTTTTATGATTCTTTTTAATCTTTAACACTGCTCCCCAATAATAATCTGAAGCATCAGTTTCCAGGATAAAGAAATCTCATTCTTGTGGTATTACGAGTTTGGGCAATACCTTTAGTTCTTCTTTAACTTTCCTTATATTTTCAGAATCTTGTTTTTCCCAAGACCACATTATATTTTTTCTTATCTTTGGAAGAAAATAATTTTTTAATTTGGCACAATTTTCAATGAATCCTTCAGCATAATTTAATATACCAAGGAAGCTTTGTAATTATTTTTTATCTTTGATTTTTTCAGGAAATTCTTGAAGTTTTTCTCCAATGTGAGATTGC